GAAATAAATGCTAAAAATGAAAATTATTCTTCTATTTCTGGACTTTTATTGAAAATACAGCAACAACCTTCATAGGCAGGTTCAAAGAATCACCTGGAAGATAACTGCAGCATCTTCTATGCTCTGATATGTGTATTTCTATGTTTTCCCTGTAATTGTACATTTCTTAAATAGCAGCTCCATTCTCATTATCTATATTAGGGTTTCCATTCTCTTTCATCATGTACATATCACATAAAAACAATAGTTCCCATGTTTTAAACTTATCCATTGAGGAGGAAGGTTATCCTGAGATTCACACTGTTGAAATACTGAGGCTTTAGATTGCCCAATGTTAGACACACTTTGACACTATACAGAAACCACTCAACTAGATACATCCAAAACTCTAGAAATAATAGAGAAATTTATTAAATATTTATTAAAAATATAAGTACCTTATAAAACTATAAGCAATATAAGTACCTTTACTTTAAGTAGGATTATCTGATAGAATTAACAAATTTATGAAATATAATAGAAAGTGAACACTTATTTATTATCAAATATGCCAGTAAATACAGGATTAGCACTTACCTGAATCACATGTCTCAGTTTATCAATAATCTGATTTATCACAGGGTCAGTTCCTTTGACTCTGACTTCAGGATTTCCAGATTGGGCTTTGACTCCATTTCCAACTATACGCTGAGTATAGCTAACAAAGTGAAAAGTGAAATACAACTTAGTAACCTGGCCAGAATATTATCTCCCACAACTGCTTGAACAGATCTGAGCTCAGGACTTTCTCCTTTGAGAGCATATACTGTTGCATTTTTTCTTGAACTGCAAACTGGCACCGCTGCAATGTTTTTTCAGGTAAAATACTTTTCATGCAAATATAGACTATTCTAGAAATAATGTTTTTCTCTCAAAGGAACCAACCAAAAACGACTTGTGTTTTGATGCTGTTTAGTAACATACTAGAAATATTTAATACATATCTCACCTTGTTCCCAGTTCTTGCTGAATTACACATACGCCTGCACCCCCATTATCTGGTCAATTTACTTACTTTGTATATAGTAGGTAAGTAGGCCTTAATATTATGTTTTAAATATTGGGATAACAAAAGAAATATACATGTATGTTTCTGAAATATATACATAACTTCTCAAGTAAAAATCATAAACACAAATGATAGCACAAATTAAAAACATTAAATTTATAAACAACTAAAATCTTCAAAGTCTTTTGTAAGTAAAGAAAACAATCTGCTTTCACTAAAGCTCCCTCAACAAAGATCTAGTAAATCAACTGTATATGAAAGGGTGATTTCACAGCTGGTGAAAGCCATTTGAAAGTTCACTAACTTCCCGACAATGACAATCATATAACGTTGACTTAGAATTTGTAAAAAAGATTTACGTTCATCCTTCACAAAGATGTATGAAGTGAATACTATATTCAAAGTCCTGTACTAGGTGAGTAGGATTATAAAGAGGTGTAAAACTCAATTAGTGTCCCCAGAATGCTCATTTTCCACCAGGAATATAATATACCAATTACCCCATTCATTTCTCCATGTGTTCATTATATTTTAAAAAAATGTAATAAATTTCAGCAATATAAGTACCTTTATTTTCCTTATGGTATAGTGTAGCATTTAGAATGCAACACTAGGGGACGAGCTGGAGGGAATGACATATGCCAAGTACCAGGTAAAGATAACCCAAGTAGTAGACACTCAGAATATGAAGAATTCCATTTGGACTCAGATACTAGGGAAAAACTCAAGGAGGAGTCTTAACTTAAGGTAGTCCTTAGGGTATAAGGTAAGTACAGGTTTTCAAAGG